CGGGCCGCGGGGGAGCCCGAGACGTCCCGGCGGCGGCTCCTTTTCAGACCTAAGGGTCATTTTTAAATCAGAACCTTTCCGTTGCTATTTACACTTACACACCGTCCAGACTTGCAGCGTGTGGAGCCGCTGCCCTGGGGGGAGAAATCACGGCACTCACTCCATCGGGCTGCTCACGAGTCCTGCGCACACGCTGCGGAGTGTTTGGGTCTCTCAAAATTACCAATCAAAACCAGGGCGTTCATCGATGCCATAAGAGGAAAAGTGAGGTTTGAAAAGCCCTAGGAGACGAGGCTAACACGTTTCCCTCCACGCTGAACAGATTTGTCAGTGAAAGTGAAGAGTAGAACACCAAAACCAAAGCCGCCACCTCATGCACTGTGCTTCTCTCTACCCTGGAAGAATTTTCTAGGAATATACATCACATATGTAGTTGACATCTGAATTTTCTTGCCGTCATTTTAAATATTTGGAAAGGATATAATTTCCAACATTCTGATAACAGCATTTTAAAATTCAGGTTATACCTTTTTAAAAAAATACCCAATGGAATCTTAATTATAGTAGAGATATGATACCCATTCTCCATCTTAAGAAATTTATGAAAAAACTCTTCTTTCAAAGGCAAACATCATTTTCTCCTTTAAGTCATTCCTATTCTATTCATCCCACAGAACTGTATGCTAACGTATCTTTATGCTTTAAAGCCTTAATGATCACAGCATCTTTTTTTGCAAGACACCCATACATATGTAATCACAAAACAAATACTCATGGCACATTCTCAGGCATTTATGGACAAGTGCAGAGCAGTAAGAAACTCTAATCAATTTGTGTGCATGTCCCAGTGGGACTTGAAGAAGGCCATGCTCTGCTTTCTTGTTTGTTCTCTATAAACAATATCATTTACACTATAAACAATATCCTTTACTCAGTCTAGGAAACGTTTTTTGATTTTTGTACCTTCATTTGGTGATTTTACTGTTTTAAATGGCCTCCAAGAGTAGTGCTAAAGTGCTGCCTAGCATTCCTAAGCCTAAGAAAGTTGTGATGCGGCTTACAGAAAAAATTTGTGTGCTAAGTAAGCTCCGTTCTGGCATGAGTTATAGTGCTGTTGGCCGTGAGTTCATTATTAATGAGTCAACAATATGATACATCCAGAAAAAGGAAGAAGATATTCGCAGGTCTGTGAGTGAGGCTGCTCCAGAGAGCGCTAAAGTAACATCTGTAGTACATGAGGAAGCCATGGAAAAGATGGAAAAGCAGCTAAATTTGTGGATTCATGAGATGATGATCAAATAAAAAAAAGTATAGTGGGAAGCATTGTTGTGAGGCTGAAAGCCAAAGAAATTTACAGTCACGTAACCCAGGGTCAGGAACATGTTAAACCCTTCTCAGCTAGTGGAGGCTGGCTTCCATGTTTCAAAAGACGATACAGCATGAAAAACTTTAAACTTGCAGTCCAGGATGGTTCTGCACACCAGGAAGCTGCAGAAGAACTTAAAAAGTACCATTGAGTGTTATACATGAAAAGGGTTATGTTGAAGAGCACGTTTTCAATGCCGATGAGGTTGGCTTTTTACAAGAATGTTGGCAAAGGAACTTGATGAACGTGATGCAGAAAGCTTCCCAGGATCCTGATTCTAAAATACTCAAAGATCATACAACCTTGCTGCTATGCATCAATGCTAAGGGCGACTTTAAATGCAAGCACCTAATGGTGCACTTAAAGGGAAGAACTTGAACTGTATGCCAGTCCACTGGAGATGGAACCAAAAAGCATGCATGGCATCTGAAATATTCCACAATTGCTTTGTCCCAGAAGTAGAATGCTGTCTCCAGAGCAAAAAACTTTGCCTTTAGGGTTTTATTAATTTTGGATAATGCCCCAGTTCATTGCCATGAAGAACTAGAAAATACCCACCCCAATGTGGAAGTTCTTTTCATGCCCCCAAATACTACATCTCTCATCTAGCCCCTCAATCAAGGCATAATAAAAGCTTTCAAAGCACAGTACATGAGAGAGCTGTACAGTAAAGCTTGTGAGACACTTGCTGCCAACCAAGAAGCCACTATGTTAAATTACTGGAAATCAGTGACTATCCACAATGTTATTGATTATGTTGGCACAGCTGGGGATAACATCAAACAGACTGTTATCAATAACTGCTGGGAAACTGTTTGGCCAAATTGTGTGAAAACTGTTGAAGGCTTTGAAGGTGTTACAGGAAATATAAAAAACATGTCAAAAACATAATGCGTACTACACAACAAATAAGTGGAGAGGGTTTCAATGACATGAGGGAAGAAGATGTGGAGGAAATTTTGGCAGAGAAGGCAGTAGAACCCACCAACAAAGATCTGGATGAGATGGCAAAAGATGGTATCAGAATCAGTGATGAAAGTCAAGACAGTGATGACAGTCAGCCCATGACTCCAAGAATTATTCCTCTTACAGCAGCCAAAATATCAGTGGAATTCTGCCCTGGAAAAACTTTTCAGTGACATGGAAGAATGTGACCCTATGCTTGAATGCAGTCTCACATTTAAGCGCCTCACCTCCACTGCATTTGTCCCTTATTCAGAAATGCTTAAAAGATTTGAGGAGAAAAGCCAGGCAAACAAAGCTGAAGCAGTTTTTCTAGCCAATTTTAGGGGGAAAGATGCAAAATATAGAACTGCTGGATCACAACATACCATCTCCTTGATGTTTCCTCTCTCCACAGTAAGTTCCACCAGTCCACCATTTGGTCTTCACAGGCAAGCCAAGGTCTTCAGGTTAAACCACACCTCCTGCAGTTCCATCTACAGTAAGCTGTTAGCATTTTTATACAATTTTAAATGCCTAACTTGCTCAGTGCTCTTTTCAGAACTTTATTTGCATTTCATATTATATAGTATGTGTTCACAGTGCTTTGCTTACTGTCTTTATGAGCATTCTGTATATGTATGGTGTATGTATATGACTCAGTGGAAGAGTTCAACTAATACAGCCATGGTAGAGCATATTATATATGCTGTATTTGAAACTGTGTTTATTATAAAGAAATATCTTCTCTACAGCTGTTTGTAATACATAATAGCCATCTTTAAACAAAACATAAAACAAGACTATGTATTGATTGATTGACAAAGTATTGTCACCAGACTCTTAGACAAATGTAATACTGTGTCTCCCCTAGAAGCAATGTCTCAGTCATGGAGAATATAGTGATTGAGATAACTATGGAACAGAGCTACCACAATAACAAGAATTTATTCTACACTTAAGATTTTTCAGCCGAGTGGACCTCATTGTTAAGATTTTTCTTCTGACTTAACTATCATGAGTACACAAATGATAGAAATGGTATACTATAGTTTTTGATAATTATTAACTATAAAAAGCAAAACAATTGGAAATGTGTATCTTAATGAGAAATATGGGGCTTCCTCTTTTAATTAACTCATTTGCCCAAGGACAATTATTCTTTTCTGCTAGAATGGGATGTGGTCTAACATCAGTGCTTTCCTGACTGGGGCTTTTTTACACACATGAGAAATTTTGTTCACAAAGATAAGCACGTGGATATGAAAGTAATTTTGTGATGTAACTTAATTCATTGAAGCCTTCTGAATTAGGAGCTCGGGTATAGCTCAGTGGTGAGCACACTGCCCACACAGAATACATGCTTATTAGCATATGAGTTCATTCCCAACACCTAAAAATAAAATAAAGCTGAAGCTTTCTGAATTGCATGGCCAAAGTCCAGATATGACCTATCATAAATGTTTTTAAATCATTATTTAATAACTTGACTAGAGTCTCCTTCAGTTTATGTGAAAACTAAGTAGTGGAGACCCTAGAGATGCAAAACCATCACTGACACCTCAGAACCCTGGATATGTCTAGTTATCCCTTTGTTACGTGGCCTTTAGGTTTTCCATCTTGCAGCATCACACCTTAAGAGGACAACAAAGTGGGTGAAAGGTCTGCCTTTATGTGCAAAGTGAGAGAAGGCTATTATGAAGAGGAGACAAAACACCACAGGCACCATCTCACACCAGTCAGCTGCAGATAAGTATATGCAGGCCAAGGGTCTGGAAATTGACTCCCTGGAAACTATGCAGTGCCCACAAAGCTCTTAAAGTCTTCCTGTATGCAGATCTGGGTGCATATAGCTTGCTACTTCAAAGAACAAACCTGTTTGGGAAACTTATATTAAAGATTCAAACTTTATAGTAAATAAGTAGTGCCTGGCTCTCTAATATGTCATCTAGGACAAGTCATTTGACCCTTCTGGATCCTTACCCTTAAAAAAAATACCCAGCAAAACCTAAGTATAATAGATAATTTTATAATACCTATTCTCCACCTTAAGAAATGAGGCTAACAGGCTTTCTCATTGAGATGTTGGGAGAATCAAATGTATTACAAATTATCAGCAATATTTCTTGAGCCCTGACTCCATAGCAGATCATGTTACAAGCACTAGGAATGCAACGCAGAGTGAGACAAGGTCTCTGACCTCAGTGAGGCAAGAATACACATGCAGGTGCAGGTGCAGCCACACAGAGGCACACTTGGAACCATGGAAGTACTACTGACAGGGTAGGGCTAGAGGCTTATCCAGCACCAAATGTGATCTTGAGCCTGGTAGATGAAAAAGCTAGTGGAACTGCATATTCAATTATGTGACATTTTAAGCTGGGCGTGATGGTGTGCATCTGTTATCTAGTGAGGAGGCTAAGGTAGGACATCACTTGAGCTCATAGCAAGATCCTGTCAAAGTGTGACATATTAGAAGTCTATGGAGTGTTCAAGAAAGGTACCTAGTCAAGGGTACCTTAACTCATGAGTAAAGCTACATTGAAAAACAGTGGAATATTATGATACAGAACAAGACAGGTAGAAGTCCTGTCCTTTATCAAAGAAGATGTACAGGGAGCACATTATTAGTTATCCCAGAAATGCAAATTAAAATCACAGCTAAAACTATACACCCACCAGAATGGGGCATGTGGAAAATGCAGACAATATCCACTCTTGGTAAGACTGAAAACAGTTGGAACTCTCATACATGACTTGACAGCATACTGTTTTACCTGAAGAACGGGCAGTTTCTTGCCAAGTTAAACTTAAACCCTAAATTCCAGCAAGTATTTGCCCAAAAGTGATGGAAACTCATCCACAAAATGCCACATAAGAGCATTCATATCATTGGCAAAGCCTTCACAACTGAAAGGAAGGGCTGTCCTCCATGTACCTCTAGGACTCAAGTGACCACCAACTCTGCCCAACTTCCCAGAAGTTCTGTCCAAACTCTCCATTGATAATAAACTCCAGGTTTTTTCATTAAAAATCAGACCAAGACTGCTTTCCAAACAATTGCAGTTTCCCCTAGAAATATAAAATTATGCTTAATATTTGAGGAATGGTGTGTCTTGTGTGAAAATTGGCCACATAATCTCAAAGCAATGCTAGGATCAAATTCTAGAAACCTTTGCAGCTGCCTTCTGCATTCAACAGCTGCCCAGGAACAGTTGACTCCACCCAGAGTCACTGCAAAGCGCCAATTAAGGCAGCTGCCTTCTTCCAGTAAAACTTGGAAAGTGTTTAAAAAGAGTGAGAGCCACGCACAATGGCATACACCTGCAATCCCAGCAGCTCAGGAGGCTGAGGCAAGAGGATCACAAATTCAAGGCAAGCCTCAGCAAGTTAGCGAAGCCCTAAGCAACGTAGTAAGATAGTGTCTCAAAATAACAAGGGGCTAGGTATGTTGCTCCGTGGTAAGTGCCCCTGGACTCAATCACCTGTACCAAATAGTTTGAGGACAAACTGCTTGAGAAGTAAGGACAGGCAGCATCAGCAAGGTAAATGAATGAGCAGGCCTGGTGCTGCCTTAGCAACCATAATGAAGACAACAGAACCACCAGAGTTCCATCTAACTCTCCACCAGCCCTGGTTCCCAGTGGCTCTCACTGCAGTCTTGTGTGTGTGTGTGTGTGTGAAATCCCCCACCTGCTTCCAATCTCCAGTGGGATTTGAGAACCACTGGTGTGGAATAACATCAGAATCAACTAGAGGAACAGCTTTAGGTGGAACCCAAGAATCTGAATTTCTTCCAAGTTCATGGGAGATATTAATGATACCAGGACCAGACTTCAAGAACTAGTGGTATATGCCAACTGAAAGTAAGAAAGTGGTGTTTCTCCCACTAGAATAACAACTTCCTTACCACAGAACAAAGGTCCCCAGGTCTTTGTCATCAACAGCCTCATCAACCAGCTGGAGAGAATCAACTGCTTTGAGAACCTGCATTCTGGCTATGGCACCTATCACATGATGACCTATTTGGGCACAGTTCAACTCCCCATTAGACATCTGCTCTCTAGTGGCAACCCACAAGCACCTCTTGTTAAATAGTCAACCAAGTAACCTAACCAACATGGAACACCAAAGTCACTTATCACAGAGAAATTGAGATAACCTTCAAGTGGAAAGGTAATAGAAAACAATTCAGGTTGGTCTGTTACTTAGTGGTGACATGACTGCTCAGAATGACATGCTGCATACGTCATTAGTGCACTTTGCTCTGGGAGGCTGCTCTTGGAGGGCCACATAACCCAGGCTCCCTGCACTGTGGCCTTGGGTTTCAGCCATTAGGAGACCATGGCTGGGAAGGAGGGGCACCTCCTGCTAAGTGGCACAGACTGTGTGCTGGTATAGGTTCACAGAGCTGGCTGTGTCTCACCCCTACTCTGCTTTCAGTAACATCACCTTGCAGCTTGAAATCAGCCACAATGGAAGTATTTATACCTCAGAGATACTAAACACTGCACATCAGAGCCTCCACCCAGAAAGCCAACCATGTTCCTCTACTGACAACAGCTCCCATTAGGAAGCCCCTCCTGCAGCTACAGCTTTCCTAGCTCTGGTAATTTCCTGCTTCTCCCCACCAGACCCTGCACATTTGGGGGCATAATGGCTTCCAGGAAACTGCCCCATCTCAGGGGTTCTACTTGTCCCTGCCCTCACTTCATACATGGTCTCATTACTCACTCCAGCCTCTGTTTGGGGGCCATCTGTTTGCTGCGACCCTAACTTGCAGAGCTTCCTGGTGGCAGCTAAAAATAGAGTAGCATATAATTCCAAAGATAGGAAATCATTTAGAAAGCAGATTAAATGGACTACAGTGCTTCCACAAAATGGACCAACAACTCTATACAATCTCTAGGTTACATTAAAGTAAAATCTCTAGGATACCAAAATGCAGTGCTGGGTTTGAAATCCTAAATTCACCTCTAAAAGCCTACTTAGCGTTTAATGACTTGTCTAATATTCAATTACATGGTAGTCACTGCTTTATTCTAGTTAGGCTACTGCAGTCTCCTTTTCTTCATAGTGCTCTCTGCCTATTATTCCATAGGACATGCTGTGAAGTGGCGTGAAACACAGGTGAAAGGAGCCCACTTGGCCATCCATCCACTGGACATGTCTTCCAAATCCATTGGAAAAGAAATGAAGCATCAAGCAGAAAATTAAGATTTGGTTGCTAAATATCAGATAAGTAAACTACCTCTCAAAAGTATACAGCCTACTACCCAGTAGTTTGCTGAAAGACAATTAAACTTTTAATAATGTGCACTTTCTTTTGCTTGCTTTCTTCAACATACCCCAAAACCCAGCTCCTATATGGAGTGCTAGTCACATAGGGAGAAACAAAATTTTTTCCACTAGTTTGAAACTGGCCAGATTTACAAATATGTAGAGTCAGATATGCCAGAGACGTGACACATGGAGGAGATGACCAAGGCTGCATTGCTTAAATTAACTCCTATCCCCTGAGGCTTGGTTCCCACAGACTCCAAAAGCATGTGAAGTCCTTCAGAGCTGGTGGCAACTTTCCCAAATTCATGCCAATGCCAAAAATGGATAAGAAAATGTTTAAGGATAAAGCACCCATCACATAACCTAGAATAAATCTGTCCACAAGCTGCATGTTTTCCCAATAATACTAGATAAACACAGGAAGTTGCACATTAGCTGGCAAGTGAAAGCCACCTGGAAAGGACAGAGGTGCTGCCATGGCTGGAGGTCAGCCCCTTGGGGATGCCAACATTGGGCAGTAGCTCAGCCGGCAGAAGGCATGGCAGAAGCTGGCTGTGCTCCCTCAGTGGAAGACCCCGACTCAGGAAACAAAGAACAGTAGAAATTCATAAGAACTCAGACTAAGTCTTGTGGCCAGAGATTTTCTTCAAAGTTCTACCTGTTCATCATAGCCCAGTCACCCTCCTATGCCAGACATACTTGTAACTTAACGAAAACAGCCCAGGGGTTACAGCACAGCATTTTGTGAATCTGAGCCACTCATTCCTTGCTTCCTGGGCTCCATTCTACTTGGCTTCTGATCCCATCTCAGAATAGCTGATGGTTCCATTTTTAAAGACCCACTGTTGAAGACTACGTGGAGAAGGCCTGTGGCCTTCGATGGAAAAGGGGGTCCTTGCCGTGTGTGCTGGTGGCAACAGTGTGAGCACATGCATCCCTGCTGACCAGGCATACCTCACACAAATGCTGTCTGCTAATAACCACCACCCAACACCCTGGGACAAGGGAACATCCCTCCTCCAGCAGCCCCTGATGGCATTCCACATTTAAATTTCGTTCTCAGATGTGTCAGGACTGCTGATGGCTGCCCTGCCATTTCCCATTTGGTTTGACTGCTACTCAGATTCACTTCTGAGAACTCTCCCACACACCCCTGCACACACAGTGACACCATCTGTGACTGGGCACTCCAGGCAGTAGCCTTTGTTCCAATCCTTCCCAGCTGAAGAACCTGTCTGTGCTTTTTAAACTGCTCAAGAAGCTGCATTTATGGCAAGGAGAAGCCTCAGAGCCATATTACAGAAGATGGGACATGACCACTTGGGAAGAGTTCCATTTTGGTCCATGTTTGAGAGGTTATTGAAGGAGTGCAGAGAGCACTGGCACATTGTGCAGAGGAGCCAGTGAAGCAAAAGGGAGGCCTTCACTCGGGAAGAAACAACTAAGGGGTTGGGAACAGCAGAGAACACCAGGGCTAAGCACATCTCTATAAATAGCAGGTAAGCCTTGCCCTAGCAAGGATAGCCAAGAGCCAGGAGGAGGGTGAGGAACAGCACTAGCCCAGGGTGCTTGCAGGAGGTTAAGGAAAAAAAAAAACTGCAGCAAAAAATTCAGAGCCAATGGGACTTTCATATTATCAATAAGTGGCCAAAAGCTGATGGGAAACCTCATTGCCACCCAACACTCAAGTTATTGGCAGAATGTGACCTGAGTAAATAGAGCACAGTTATCAATAAGATGTGCAGCAGTCATACTTGAGGAAATAAAATTTTTAAAAACCACTTAAGACAAACTGACCTTCATTAGTTGGAGATAAGGCTGCCAGTATATACACAAGAAGTCTGTTCATATTACTATAACTGAGGTATCTCACTGCTTATTTATACATCAAACCAGAAGTTACATCACTTCTCTGCCCAAAACCCTTAAAAGTTCCACTCTTTTTCATGCAGGGAAAAAGCCAATTCCTATGAGAGAATGAGAAGACAAACCACAGACTGGTAAAAGAAGGATCTGCAAAACACACAGCCAAAGACTTGTATCCTAAATATACAAAGAATTCTTAAAAATTAACAATAAGGAAAAAAATTAATGGGCAAAAGAAGCCAGGCTTGGCAATACACACCTGTAATGCCAGCAACTTGGGAGGCTGAGTCAGGAGAATCACAAGTTCAAGGCCAGCCTCAACATGTAGCAAGATGCTGTCTCAAAAAATAAAAAGATTTGGGGGTGTGGTTTTGTGGTAGAGCAGTCCTGGATTCAATCCCCAGTACCACCAAAAAAAAAAAAAGGGTCAAAAGACCTGAAGAGACAACAAAGAAGATTCCTAGATGCCAAGTGTGTTAGTCAGCTTTCTGTTACTGGAACAAATACCTGAAGTAAATCAGTTTATAAAGAGGAAGGATTTACTTTGGCTCATGGTCATTTGGCTCTTACTACTTTGGGGCCTGTGGCAAGGCAGGACCATGTGACAGAAGGGGCCAGGATCAAAATAACCCCTTCAAGGACATGCCCCAGTGATTCGACTTCCTCCCACTAGGACCCCACCTATTAAAAGGTTATACCATCTCCCAGTAGCACCATAGGCTGAGACCAAGCCTTCAACACATGGGCCTTTGAGAGACACTTTCCCAAACCATAGCACAAGTAAACATGTGAAAAGATGCTCCCTATTATACATCACCAGGGAGATGAAGATTAAAGTACAGTGTCACTACACACAGATTTAAATGAACAGAATCCAGAACACCGACAACACCAAATGCTGGTGAGGATGTGGAGCAACAAGAATTCACATTCATGCCCGCAGAAATACGAAATGGTACAGCCACGTTGGAAAGCAATTGGTGGTTTCTTATAAGCTAAACGTAGTCTTATCATACAAGCCTACAATTGTGCCCCTTGGTATTTACCCAAATGAGTTTTTTTTAAACATTCTTCTAGTTGTTGATAGATCTTTATTTTATTTATTTATATGCGGTGCTGAGAATAGAACTCAGTGCCTCACACATGCCAGGCAAGTGCACTACTGCTGAGCCACAGCCACAGCCCCCCAAATGAGTTTTTTAAGAACTTAGGTCCACACAAAATCTGTAAGCAGATGTCTTTATCAGCTTTACTCATAATCTCTAATACTTGGAATTTACCAGGACATGAATGGATAAACAAATAATGGTATATCAAACAACATGTTATTCAGTGATTTAAAAAAAAGTTCACCATCAAACTGAAAAGATGGAGGAAGCTTAAATGTATATTGAAAGAAGCCAGTGGGAAAAACTATATGATTTCAAATATATAACATTCTGGAAAAGACAAAGCTGTGGAGACAGATCAGTAGTTGTCTAGGGCTGAAGGGAGGGAGCGTAAGGGGGCGGAGGATTTTAGGGCAGTGACACTGTGCTATACAATACTATAAGGTGGATATGTCATTGTACATTTATCAGGACCCAAGCAATGTACAAGATGAACTATCATAGGAACCGTGGGCTTCAGTTCATTGCTGTGATCTGAGCGTCCACTCCAATGCTCATGTTGAAAATGCACTGCCGCTGTTGGGAGGCAGGACTGTTAAGCAGGTGTGTGGTCATGGGGGCTCTGCCTGGTGCACTAATTCATGTCATTATCACAGGAATGGGTTCCTAATAAAAAGCATCAATTTAGCCTGATTTGCCCTCTGTCTCTTGAGGGTGTGTTTGCCCTTCTGCCATGTTGTGATGTAGCATGAAGGCCCTTAGCAGATGTGGTCCCTTGACCTTGGACTTGCAAGCCTCCAGCACCCTGAGCCAAATAAATTTCAGTGTTTGTCCTTCCACCAGTCCATGGTACTGTTGTAGCAGCAGAAAACTAGATGCCGATAATACTGGTGGTATTACTCACCAGTTCTAATAGGTATGTCATTCACCCCAGATGTTAATAATCAGGAGAGCTGGGGATGGAGAGAGAGAATATGGGGACTCTTTTTCTGCTCAATGCTTCTAGAAACCAAAAATGGGTCTTTTTAAAAAGCTGCATGATAATAATCAAAAGCCCTTATAGTGGCCTACACAGCCCACCCCCTTGCTCCCTCCTTGACTATTACCAGCTCTTGCTCACTCACACTGGCTCTGCTCTTCCTGGACTTGCCAGTGACTCCTGCCTCAGGACCTTTGCACTAGTGATCCCCTCTGCTGAAACACTCTCCCCACTTTGCTGTGATCATCATCAAGTCTCTGTTCAAATGACACATCTCAGAAACCCCAAGCCAATGACCTGACAATGCCACCCTAGTTGCTTCGTGCCCCTACCCCATGCTGCTTTTCTTCCACTGGGGAAGATGCTATCCAATGTGCCTTAGTGCTGCATTTACCAGATTTCTCCCTACACCATATAGCTATTCTCTGCAAGCAGAGGACTGGTCTGAACAAATATATCTCATGGTGGCCCATCTGGCTCCTGATGGGTTATTTGTTCAATGAATCAATAAAAGTAAGGGCATGTGCCTAGGGCACTCTACATCACTTGATTAAACCTACCAAAAGTGATGTTGATGCTGTGGCATCTAGAACCAAAATGTGACATACAGTCACTGGATATGGCCTGAAACATGTCACTCGGTGATTCCATCATGGTGTGCACATCAGAGTGTACTTGCACAAATCAAGACAGCCGCCATGCCACCATGTCACTCCGTGATATCACTTATGGAACCTCTGTCATGAATGTAGTCTTGTTGGTCAAAACAGCAAGCACATGACTGTACACTGCTGGGGATGGAAGACATGAGACGGAACTATCCTAAAACTTGGAAATACAATCGCTATAAGAAAAATGATGGAGAAATCAAAGACTCATTTTGCTTTTAGACCTTAACCCCTTCCCATCATGACATACATACATACACCCCGTCATACCACCTTGCCAGAGGCCAGCTGCCCACCTGCTGCCCAGCTCTCCCAGGACTGCCCGCATGCAAGGCCAGGGCTCAGCTTTCCCTGTGTGTGCATCAGGGCATCAGTCCATCAAGAGCTGCACAGAGGAGCTCTGGTTATAGCTCTCATCTCTGTCACTGAGGAAAATCACTGGCTCTGAGCTGGGTCTCCACAACCAACTGGCCTGCTCCCTCGAGCCTGGCTCATTTCCGTCATTCACATTTCATGCAGGCATCCCTAATATCCGTGTGTTCACAAGCCTGCATTGTATTAGTTTCCTAAGTTTCACAAGGGGGCTCTAGACCTCATGTGATTCTGGTATTTCAGAGTTGAGAGACGGGGGGGGGAAATTCAGAAAGAGCTAGGGAGAGACAGACACACAGAAAAAGAAACAGGCACAAAGAAAGGGGGGAGGAACGGACACACAGAGGGAAGTGGTGAACAGGACCCACACAGCGTACATACGTTGCTGACAAACATCCTGCCAAGGGCACTTCGGGGGAGGGCATAGCCCAGCAACTTGCTGCATTTTCCTCAGGCCTGAGTTCTCCACTGGTGCTGAGCATATTCATGCCATTTCCTCTGTCCTCTCCACTATTTCTGGCCCACGCAGTGAGTGTCACTCAGGTGACTCTGTCCTTCAGTTCTATAACTTCCACTGGGTTCTTCTTTACTTTACTGGCTTATCTGACAATGAGCAGGATTTTAGGTAAGGATGGAGACATTGCCAAAAACTAACTGCTCTCTGTGTGTTTCTGTCTTGCATTGGTGGCTGTTCAATTTGAGCATGTGCAGATACAGAGCTGGTCTCCACCCTCAGAGCTGCTCATGCAGGAGGCCTAAGCTAGGGTGGAGAAGCTGTATCCCTCTGAGGTCTGAGGGACTGCTGATGCTGGTGGTCCAGGGGACCAAAATTGTGTGTCTTTGCTGAGGGCGTCTATGTTCTCATCAACATCCCCTCTCAAAGCCATGTTATGGTACCTGCTGGGCCCCTCTGTGGACAGCTCCAGCACCACCCATGGGGGAGAAACACGGCTAGCAGGGCCTCAGCGCCCTCTGGCAAAGGAGTTCCCGTGCCCACCAGCCTTCCCCTGCCTGATCTAGTGTTTTCTCCTGCAACTAGTCTTGGGGCTGGAAATTGTCAAAAATGTCGATGTTTTCTCCGACTATGAGTAAAACATGGATTCTCAATTGGCAAGTGAACAGAAAGCAGCAATTGGAGTAACTTCCACGGCATGTCTTGGGGTTGAATGGAAGGACAGTGCAAATCCCAGTGGCTATTTCAGATTTCAGGGAACCAGGTAGCCTGGTGGATGGACAAACTCTGCATCCCTTAGAGGCAGTCTCAGGAGTGGCAGCCAGCTGAACACCATGAAATGAAATGTGTCCTTAAGGAGCAATGGTAGGAACTGGCTGCAGGGCTGCTCCCTGGGTTTCCTCCCTGGAGCTGTCCCTGAGGACTCTTCCCTGGGGCTGCTCCCAGACCCCATAGCCAAGTCACAGGGTTAAATCCTACACTTTCCTGAAAAACCCCAGTACTAAAGACACCTACAGTAGCTCAGGGTCCACCTCATCCCCGCAGCTGCTCCTAGCCCTGACCTGAGTGTTTCAAGTGCCTTGATGCCTCTAGCTAAGCTTTATTTCACCAGACCTTGCCCAAACCTCCTGAGCTTGGTCTCTCAACAAAGATCATGTTTCTCTTCCGTTTTAGAAGAAAACTTCTGTGCAGATGGGGATCCCAACTTTTCAGGTAAATTCCGAATCCCCTTCCAACTTATGTGGGACTTTTTTCTCCAGTCTTTCTGCACCGTGTTTGAATATTGCAGACCCACAGAGAGGCAGACCTCAGGTGCTGTACTGCCTGAAGTGAGAAGGCACTGGCTGGGAAATGCACCAGATGTAAGGGCCACCTATGGAAGATCCCCTGGGAACATAGCTGGGCCCCACCTACAGTACTGCCAGGTGACTCACAGTGGTCTGGGTCATGGTTCTCAATTTTGGTCCCCTGGACCACCAGCATCAGCAGTCCCTCAGACCTCAGAGGGATACAGCTTCTCCACCCTAGCTTAGGCCTCCTGCATGAGCAGCTCTGAGGGTGGAGACCAGCTCTGTATCTGCACATGCTCAAATTGAACAGCCACCAATGCAAGACAGAAACACACAGAGAGCAGTTAGTTTTTGGCAATGTCTCCATCCTTACCTAAAATCCCGCTCATTGTCAGATAAGCCAAAGGGGAAAGATGAAACACCCAGCATTAATGCATTCAAAAGATGAGGATGAAGGTCTTAGAAGTTCTCAGGGTGATGGCTTCTCGTGCTCAGTACAACACTTATTGAACTCAAACCAATGGACTCATCCACTGAGAAGGAAAGAAGCACATTTCAAAACATGGGAAATGAACAAAAATATGCTAGGCATATTTCCCTGAAACTAGTGGAAAGGACAGTTTTCTAGAGTCTCCTTTATCCCGAAAAGCATGCCTGACATCCACATCCTATTAACAAAGGTTACAGTGAAGTTGCTAACCCATTGCTGCTCCTCCACACACCTGTGCCGGGTTTTCATGCGCCTAGCCTCAGCTGCATCTGTGGGCTCAGCCGTTGTCTCACCCCACAGTTCTGTTTCCAGCACTTTCCAGTCCCCACAAACCTGCAAGCTCAAATCTCTCCCTTTCCAGAGACCCTCTCTCCTGTACTAACTCATGGGCTCTGACTGAGGTGACCAGTAATGAGGGTGGCCCTATATCCAGGTTTTCCCAGGCCTGTCCAGCTGTGCCTACTGCCCTAGACCAATCATGAGTGGGCCTTCCCTCCCCCCAGCTCAGCCAGCACTGGCAGGTCTTCAGTGGCACACACTCAGACTCTGGCAGCACACCAGTCAGCCTCCTCCCCACCTCCTGTCATGGTGCCCTCTACTGACTAAGCCCATTGGCCACCCCTCTTAAGTCTCCTGGGACCGTGGGCACTGCTAGGTTATTCATTTCCAAGTTCCCCCAGCTGAGTCTGACCTTCACACAGTAGCACCACAACTCCTGGTGAGAAATCTCACCACTTCTACAGCTTCAGGTCACAGCTCTGCACTGTGATTCCCCGGTGTATAATACAGTCCAGGTGTCCTCCAGGCTCTCAAAGCTCCACACAACCACACTCCAAGTCATGGAACTCATTCACGATCTCCATGCTCTAGCCCAGGCCACATGCAGGATTCGCTCAGAGGTGACCCTGCGCCTCTCCTGCTGTGCAGTCAGAGACTTGGGGGTGGCTCCAAAGGCCTTTCCCAAGTCAACCCATCACAAGCCCTGTGAACTTGGTTCCTGAAACCCCTCTCAATTCTATCATCATCTCTTTGGCATACCTGCTCCACCCTGACCCCAGGTCTCAACAGCTCTCTGCAGACAATCCCATATAATTTTCTACATGTTGTTTTCTAAACATGCAGCTGATCATATTATTCCCTCCTTAAAACCCTGGGAAAGCACGACTGGCCCACTAGGCCCTCTGCTACCTGGCCCCGCCATCTCTCCTGGCATCCTTGTTCAGTCCAAGGCCATCTAGGCCTCGCCAGGGCACCCAATGCACCAGGGATCCCCCAAGCCAGGCCACCCCTCCTCCATTATAGAACCCCATCCTCCAGAGCTCGACTCCAGTGCCACTGCTTGACAGGAGCCTGCCCTACCCCATCCCTGCCCCATCTGCCAAGGTTAGCAGGTCCCTCTGCTGCACATGTGGAAATCCATCTCTCGCCTTCAGAGCACGTCTCACTCACAACATAGCCGCTCATGTTATTTCTTTGACGTTACTCTCCTCCACCACTGGGTTACTTTTGCAAGTCATAAATCTCCAAGGCCTTGCATGATTCTTTTTTTTTTTAAAGAGAGAGTGAGAGAGGAGAGTTAGAGAGGAGAGAGAGAGAGAGAATTTTTAATATTTATTTTTTAGTTCTTGGCGGACACAACATCTTTGTTGGTATATGGTGCTGAGGATCGAACCTGGGCCGCACGCATGCCAGGCGAGCGCGCTATCACTTGAGCCACATCCCCAGCCCCTTGCATGATTCTTGAATACAGTGAACACCCAATCAAGATTTGAGGAGAAAATAAATAAATGAACAGACAAAAAGATGAGTCTCTGGTAATAAATCCCTTTCCCCATAAAATGTAAGTACACTACACGTTTTCTAGAATCATGATTAGGTTCAAAAGTAGAAGGCAGCCTGTAAGATGAGTTAAAGCCCATACACCAAAAAAAAAAAAATCATATGACAGGGCAAAACTGACAAGCCCCAGACTGAGGCACCCCCACATACAGTGGCCTGTGGTCTTTCAAAGGTGCAGTCTGACGAGCACCAACATGGGTGCACCCTCACGAAACCCATGACCACCTCTGCCCCTGGCTTCGCAATCACCTCCTCCATCCCAGGTCCCCAAGCAAGGCTCAGCCCACTGTCACTGAAATACTGCGTATCTTCTGGAAGCCCACATCAGTAGAACCACACGGTGTGTACTCTGCTCTAGTTTCTGTCACTTAGCACAATATTGAGGCTCAACCATGCTCTGGGCTATTCTCTCATCTATAGTAAAGACATACCACAATTCTAAATTCACCAGCTAGAAACATTTGCTTATATCTACTTTGTGGGTATTAAAAATAAAACTACTGTGAACATTTGTGAAAGACTCAATATGGAGACACCATTTTCTTGGGCAGATACCTAGAAGTGGAATGGCTAAAACATTTGTTAGGTATATGTTTAGTGTTTTAAGAAACTCATGAACTGTATTCTGAAGTGTTGTCTGATTTTACATTGCCACCAGCTGTGAGAGTCCAGCTCCTTCCTGCCCTTGCCCACACTTGAAATGATCACTCTTCCCAGCAGTTGTGATAACAGATATATAGTGTGCAGCCCTACCTCATTGGGGCTTTATCACTAATGGAGTCGAGTTTCTTTTCATGTGCTTATTTGCCATATTGATATCTTCTTTGGTGAAGTGTCTATCGAGACCATTTATTTCCTTTTTAAACTGAATTGTTTGTTTCCTTATTGAGGTCTAGGAGTTCTTCATGTATTCTGGATACAAGTTCTTAAACACACATATGACCTGTAAAAATTTTCTCCTAATCTATGTTTTGTCTTTTCATTCTCTTAGCAGTATCTTTCAAAGAACAGAAGTCTTTCCTTTTGACTAAGTCCAATTCATCAACTCTTTTAGAGATCATGTTTTTGGTGTCATATCTAAGAAATTTTACCTTGCCGAAGTTACAAATGTTGCTCTTGTGTTTTCTTCTGGTTGTTTATGGTTTAGTCTTTACATCTAGATCTGTGATTCATTTCCAATTAACTTTTGTATGCTGGGGACACCTAGCCTGGAGTTCATTAAAATAGTAGTTTCTAATCATTCTGACACCATCACTGAAGACAGCGTGCTTTCAACAGTAAATTGCTTCTGCACCTTTGCTGAAAGACAGGTGTCTTTTGTGGGTCTATTTTTGCACTCCATTCTGTCCTGTATATTTATTGCTGTGTCTTTTGGACATTGCCTCAAAATTACTGGAAACCACATCCTCCAACCTTCTTCCTTCTCTCAGTTCTGTGGCTATCCCAGGTCCTTTGCATCTTCATATATATTTAGAATTATTTGTTAAAGCAGGTGCAATGATGCATGTCTATAATCCCAGCAGCTCACGAGGCTGAGGCAAGAGGATCCCAAGTTCAAAGCCAGCTTCAGCAACTTATCAAGATCCTGTCTCAAAATAAAATTAAAAAAAAGCTGGGACATGGCTCAGTGGTTAAACACCCCTGGGTTCAATCCCTGGTACCAAAAAAAAAAAAAAAAGATAAGAAAATCATTTGCCAAGGTCTGGCCAAAAAAAATGCTGGGATTTTGGTCCTGATCCTGTTGGAGCTGTGGATCAGTGTGGGAGAACCAGCATCTTAGCACCAGAGAGACTTCTGACTCAAGCCTCAGGTCCTCTTCCATGTCACCCATCAGCATTGGGCTTTTAGAGAGCACACATCTTTCTTATTGTTGTTAGATTTATCCTCAATCATTTCTCTTTTCTTCCTTTTCCTTTTGCTATTGCAAATGTATTTTATTCCAATTTCTGATCATTTTGCTATATATAAAAATATACTTGCTTTTTTTCCTTTTTTCTTTCCACACATCACAATTGATTTTTGTATATTAATCTTATGTACTTCAACCTTGCTGAACTCACTTAATGGTTCCTGTGTCTACTTTGCGGATTCCATCCAATTTTCTGCACAGTGCAAGGACAGGTTGTGGGTTCCTTTCCAACCTGGACGATTTCCTCTTCTCTTTCCTCAGGTATCCAGTGCAAGGTTGGACATCCCAGTATTGTTGCCCGTCTCAGGGAAATGCTCCGTCTTCCACATCTGGAGTGCTGCCCCCTTCACCAGGAATAGATATTGGGTTTTATCAAGTGCTTTTCCCTCATCTATTGAAATAATCCTGTAGTTTTCCTCTTTTAGCCTATTAATATCATAAATTGTATTGAATGATTTTCAAAAGAGAAACTAATTTTGCTGTCCTAAGTTCAATCCCTCTAGGTTATGATGTATTACCCTTTTCATATAATGCTGAATTTGATAGGCTAATTAAGTTTTAGATCTATATTCATGGAATTACTGGTTTATGATATTTTTCTTACAATGTCTTTACCAGGGTTTTTATTGGAGGCAGGGGATGCTGGGGATCAACCCAGGGCCTTGTGCATGCAATGCAAGCACTCCACCAAATGAGCTACATCCCAGCTCCGGGGTTGTTTTTGTTTTGTTTTAAATCAGGGGAAGGCAGACTTCATTTAACAAGTTGAGAAGTATTCTCCAAGTCCAATTTTTTTAAAAAAGTTTATTGAACTGCCATTATTTTTCCCCTAAATGTATAGCAGAATTCAGCAGGGAAGCTATGCTGCCTAGAATTTTCTTTATGAGAAGGTTTTTACCTATAAATGTAATTTCTGTAATAGACAGGACTATTCAAGTTACCCATTTCTTCTTGAGTGAGCTTTGGTGGTTTGAGTTTTCCAAGGAACTTGTCCATTTCATCTACACCACAGAATTCACTGGTACATAAAAACACACCCTTTTTATGCAGCCTGCAGAATCTGCAGCCACCCCATGTCAGTCGTCTGTCTCCTCCTTTCCCATCAGTCCCGCTAGAGGCTTATCATTTTTACTGATTCTCTCAGAGATCCAGCTTTTGGTTTCGTGGTTTTTCTTAGGAATGTTCTCCTTGTTTCATGGACTCCCTTTCCATTCCTTACTATGCTTGCTTCTTCCTCTGGGTCTAATTTGCCCACATTCTTCTTGTTTCTTGAGGTGGAAGCTCCTTCACAGATGACCGAAGACTGGCCTAGGTGAGGTGAGCAGGACCTCACTCCCCAAGTACCCCGGAAGCTTGAAGGCCACGAGCAGAGCCATGCTTGCTGCTGCCCCTCAAGAGCCAGCCTGGAGAGCTGCACAGCATGGCCATGGGATGTGCTTGTCAGGGTGCCCTGAAGGAACCGTGGATGACAAAGCTGGAAGTCTCCTGCCCCTTAACAATGTGGCCTCTGTGGTGCTTTCTGGAAGCTTAACCTTCGACACAAGTCTGTAAACAATTCAACCACACGCTATTAATAGAGCCTGTTTTCAAAAGAAACAAAAATACATTTAAAATAGGAATAAATGTAACCACAAAATTCATTTCCGCTAGGAGAAATCAGCTACCAGCACTAGTGTGTCGTGGGATTAGTTATATAATCACAGATCTTAAATAAGGTGATTTCTTCAGCACACAGAAAAGCCAGAGAGAAATTGCTCAAGAAAACTCTGGGAAGGCTGGAGGGAAGCTGGCTGCTCAGGCAGCCTCCGGTTCCTCCTGAAGAGCCCACAACAGAGGCAGTCAGAGCCAGAAACATTCTCCAGAAACTCCTAATTTTCTGTCAAAATCACTATAACGTTCTCCCTTAAATTGAGTGTTAAAGTCATAAATCTTTTGGCATGTGTTCAGAAAACAATTGACTTTTTCAGAAAATCTGTCTTTCTAACCAAAAACTTCTGAAACTTTGCTAGCTATAAATGGAAACTTAATGCCACTTATGAACTTGAACTCTGTCAAGGACAGGAAACTGGTGGAACGTCCCTGGCACAGGGACTTAGTGGTGAGACCCTTGGAACTGAGGGAAAAGAGCCATCGTGGTCCTCAGTATTTACAAATCAGCTAAAACTAGGCCCTTTTAAAAAAGGCGTGTACAAAATAGAAGACGTCCTGTCAGAACCAGACTTCGTCACAAGAAGCTATGCAAAATCAAGACCAACTTGGGACTGTGGACTCCCACTTTAGACTTAAGCCATTCAGTGTGAACTGGAAGTCCCAGCTGCGTTTACATGTGCTCTTCTCAGGATCTGAAGTAACATACAGCTTCTTCAGAACCAAGAGGGGAATGTCATCAGCCCCTTAGGAAGAAAAGTGCTCCGAGTGTGATAATAAAGCTCCGTGTACCACACCAAGCAGCAAACAGCAAGGAGAGCCGGCCGTAGATGACCTACCCTGTGGGACCGCAGGATCATCTCACGGCTCTGGGAGGATTCCTCCAAGACACCAGGAGAAGGAACAGCAGCAGCCCCTTCAGCAGCACCAGCCGCCACTTGAGGTCAGGACGCAGAGGCCTGGGCCACCCACCCAGCCCTCCTGGCCACCTGCAGCTATCCAGGCAGGAGTCTGAGACTTATTCTAGGGGGAAAAGTGAACCAAGGAGGCCCAAGACTTGGGAGAGGGCGTGGAGGAAGGCCACGGCAAGGCGGGTCTCCCTGAGGGCCTGCAGTCCTTGCCAGGGGCCTCAGAGGTGACCACCCCACAGGCACAAGCCTCCCAGCCCTGCCAGTGGGCATGTGGCTTGCTCTTCAGCCATCACCAATGATCTAAGCAGTCCCCAATGTGGAAGCCAAATTCCAAGAGACAGCCAGGCAGACCTCGATGCACACCTGGGACGAGCTCCAAGGTGGTTCCAGAATTGGCAGGGAGACCAGCCAGGGCTGCGGCTCAGGGGCAGAGCATTCCTAGCCCAGGGAGGCCCTGGGTTTGATCCTCAGCCCACATAAAGACCAACAAAATAAAGGTACTGTGTCCATCTATAACTAAAGAATATTTTTTTTTAAAGAGAGAGTGAGAGAGGAGAGAGAGAGAGAGAGAGAATTTTTAATATTTATTTATTTTTTTAGTTCTCGGCGGACACAACATCTTTGTTGGTATGTGGTGCTGAGGATCGAACCCGGGCCACACGCATGCCAGGCGAGCGCGCTACCGCTTGAGCCACATCCCCAGCCCCTAAAGAATATTCTTAAAAAAGAATTGGAGGGTACGGAGAGAGAGGGAAAGGAAGGAAGAGAGAGAGAAAAAGAAACCAGATATTAAGAAACAAGGAAAACCAGATATTTAAACAAATTTTTAAATTTCTAGGTAGAAATTTTAAAATAATAGTCAAAGTAGAGACAAAACAAAAAAATTCAGTGGAAAGTTTAGAAGATTTAGAAGTCAGAAAAATAGCTTTTGGGAGGGGGAACACTCTACCACTAAGCACAGCCCAGCCCCAGGCTGGCTGGTGCAATTGGACCGGGACGGCCTCTCCAGGACCCACTCTCCTCCGTCAGGCCCCTCAGCCAGCTTCCAGGCACCAGCTTCATCCTTGTGGTGGGGCAGGGCCTGAGAAAGGGTGGAAAGCTCAAGGCCTCCACGGCTGGGCTAGAAACTAGCACTGGGCGCTTCTGCCACCCGGGTCAGACCAGCTCAGATTCAAGAAGGAAGCAGAGAGGCTCTGGATGGGGGCAGCCATGGACAGTGGGACAGCTGAGCCGCTTCTGTGCTGGACCACACCCTCCTTCCCTCTGAATCCCAGGAGACTGTCTCCCTCCACAGTCCTGGGAGCACCCTTAGACTGCAGGACTTGCCCAGCTGAAGGCAGCTGCCTCAGCCAGCCCTTCTGCATACCAGGAGTCTGGGCTGGGTGACCACTATGTCCCTTCATGCTGAGACACTTTACACTGAAGGCCCTGCTTCCTCTCATGGCTGGATAGGTGCTCCACACACAGGCACATATGTGATGTCTCCCTGCACACGGTGGCCTCCCCAGCATGCATGTAACAGAAACCCCACAGACCCACCGATCAGAGAAATGAACTTTTTTCTTTTCTTGAAGTACTAGGGGTTGAACCCAGGGGCACTCTGCCACTGAGCTACATTCCCAGCTCTAACTTGAGCTCTATCTTAATCTTGATTTTGAGACAGGGTCTTCCAAAGTTGCTCAGGCTGGCCTCCAACTTACAGTCCTCCAGGATAAAGCCTCCTGCTAGGGTGACAGGTAAGCACCACTGGACTGCATTAAAATAGGTGTTTGGCCAGGCGACTAGGGAGACCGAGACAGGAGGATCACAAGTTCAAATCCAGCCTCAGCAATGGCAAGGCAAGGCACTAAGCAACTTTATTTAAGACCCTGTCTCTAAATAAAATACAAAATAGGGCTGGGGATATGGCTCAGTGCTCAGTGCCCCTGAGTTCAATCCCTGGTAGCCTCTCCTAAAAAAGGTGTGTTTGAAACAAATTCTGCACATCTTCCATTGGCACAGCCCTACTGTCCTTGAGCTACAGACAGCAGCAGACACACACCACTCTGCAAAAGTGGGCTGAGAACCGTCAGGAGTTCAGAAGGAAAACTGAAAACACAAAGGCATTGGGAGACAGATGCCCCTAAGCCAATTCTGCACACCTGGTGACAGGGAAAGTGGGGAAGTTGCTGGGGGCAGCCCTCTGCTGAGGAGGCCGCAGCCCGGCCCTCCTTTCCCATTCGGCACTCCTGGCCTTTGACCTTCATGAAACCTTGTAGGATGAAACCTGAGTGCCCAGGCTCCACCCTCGGCCCCTTCCAGTCTCCACAAGCCCTGCAGCTGTGCTGTGACCAGGCGCTGACCAGGGGTGTCTGGTGGTGGGGAGGGAGCTACAAGAACCTGCTCTGAGAATAAAGCAACCTGCCTGGACCTGAGTGGCTCTGAGGCTCAAATCACAGCTCAGCATTTCCCAAACCCAGTGGAAAGTTCCTCAGCGTCAACTGAAAAAACAACAGCAGTAGCACGTCTTCTCATTTACTGTGGGACACCCTATCGCCCCAACAGGCCATTCCCATTAGCAGAGAGCATTCATATCCTCCTAAGAGGAGGAAACTGGGACTCAGAGAAGGCAGGCAGATTGCTTGAAGTCACACAGCAAATGACTACAGCAGTGAAGCCAGGTCTATCCAACCCTGGAAGACGAACAAGGTCTTCAGGTAGGGGACCTATGGCTTAACGACCACCAGTCTTGGAACTGCAGGAGGCACAGTTGTGTGACCCCTGCCTGAAATGAGGGACACCAGGGGCAGATCTCCAACTCACAGGAAATTCCAGTCTAAAGAGCTGAGAGCATCCCATGACGAGAACGCACAGCTCCACACCCCAGGCAGCTCCATTTGTTATACTTTACAGTTATTAGTTACCTCTGCACATTCCAGGAAACATCTGTATGGCTCTTTAGTTTTAATCTATGCACATATGCGTGTGCCTCTTGGTACAAATGGAAACTGAGTAAACACTAAGAGGAGGAAGGCCCCGGGAACCAGAATCAGGTGGGGGCCGCCAGCCCAGAGCTGGACTCTGCCCTCCGTGGTGCCCTTCCTGCAGTGGCTGCAATAAGGGTACAGGGTGGGATAGGCATGGGCCATGTGCAGTTTCCAGAGGCACCCCAGGACAAGGAGAGGCCAGCTCTCTACAGGACAACCTGAGCCCCTGCCAGGCGCCTTTGGGGCTGTTCCTGACAGGGAGGGGCTGGGCACACTTCCCAGGTAGCCACCTGCACATGCCTCCTGAGGGTACCCCACAATGCCCATTCTTCCTGAGACCCCTGCTGGATGGTTCACACGACCTGATCCTTAATTCCATCTGCCCAAGGTGCCCACGTGTGCTTGCCCTGTCTTATTTCCCAGTGTGGGCTGCAACTCCTAGGGGCCAACCACCAGCTTCCTCTAAATGCAGTCCAGGTGGCAGGAGCAGGTCTGACATCTGGGGAAAGGTCACAGACCTGGGTTTGACCCTCCTGCCTCCAGCTGCAGTGGGGGACTCACAGCCAGGCTTGCCGCTGCGAAACGGCATCTGTAAAGGAGGTGAGTACTTGTAAAGGAGGTGAGCAATTTGTGAAGGCGCCTGAGACTCTGGACAGATGCGAGTTTCGTTTTGTTTCTTCTCTCTTCTTTAAAAGAGTATATTAAAGTGAGTAGAGCAAGCAGGGAAAACAGGCAGATTCTAGGGTTAGCTCTGCTAACAGAATGAGAGCCTGGTCCTGGGAGAGCACACCTGGGACTGAGTGCTGCCCCTATGACACACCTCCTGAAACAGCATGCCACCAGCAACACCCCAACCACCAACCCAGAGGTGTGTGTGCATGTGCATGGATGTGAGTGTGCATGCATCCCTGCACATGTGCACATGCACCTGTCTGCACACCTGTATTTGTGCACCCACATGTGTGCTCATGCACATGTGAGACACCAACATGAACACCATAGTGTGTTCAATCTGGCTCTCAGGAGCCCTCTTCTGATGTCCCTGGTTTAAACTGAATTTGACTTTGTGTGCTTCATTTTGAGAGAACCAGCAAAGACAGCTCCAGCTCCGCTCTTCCCCAGGCCTAAAGCCTAAGTAAGCATCACACTGGCTCAGGGTCTAGATGGACTTCAAAGTCGCATGCTTCAAAAGTGAATGTTTATCAGCCAGGTGCAGTGGCACACGCCTGTAATCCCAGAGTCTCAGGAAGCTAAGGCAGGAGGATCACAGGTTCAAAGCCAGCCTCAGCGACTGAGCAAGACCCTGTTTCAAAATAAAAAGGGCTGGAGATGTGGTTCAGTAGTAAAGCATCCCTGGATTCAATCCTGGGACCTGAAAAAAAATGTTTATTATTGTATTATTGCAAAATCAATGATTCTGAGAGCTTCATTAGGGTAGGTTGATTAGAAGAGTCTGGATATAACTAAGAATCCTGATTGCAGGGTTTTAAGGACCTTAAAAATGGCCCAGAGATAGTCTGCATCCCAACTTCTCCATGAGTGATTTATCAGTCAATCAGTGCATCTTTATGAACAGACATCAGGCATAGCCTTCCCACATGACCTGTTCTGGTGGGACCCCTCAACTGTCCCACGTATCACTGACCACATGCTGCGGAGGCCCAAGGGCCCATGAGAAGGCACGGTCTTCCTTGGGCACTTCTAAATTCTTCCCTTTCTTTTCCCACCCCAGCCTTACCCACTCCAGAATTTTAAGCTGGGCAGAAAGTCAGTCTTGAGTCCACTGAGAAAGTGCTGCCTCAGATCTGCTGGTTTCTACACATCCACAGAAGGTCTCCGTGGTCTGGGGAACCACCAGATTCTAACCCACACATCAGGAAAAATGCAAATCTGACCTGCTCATCAAATGCTGGTCTCCTCAACTTCCCCCGTCCTCCCCGTCTATCCCCTGCATCACAATTCGCTACTTCCTACTGCTCACACTGTGGTCCTTCCCAGAGCTGTGTTTTCTCCTGTACTCAACCTGCTGTTTAGGGTTTTATCCCCCATGCATCATGGGAGGCAAGTAAGTGCTTCACAGGTTAATTTGGTTCAAATATGTTATGCTACCTGTTAGTCAAGTTGTTCCCCAAGATTCTTATGTTGAAATCTAACTCCAGTACCTCAGCAGGTGAGGTCCCTGCAGAGGTGATCAGTAAAGGTCATACCAGGTAGTGTGCCCCTGATCCAACAGGACCATGTCCTTATAAGAGGGGGATTTGGACAATGTGGAGACCACAAGCCCAGGCGCCCCAGACCCCTGAGCGAGGCCTGGATAGAACCTCCCCCATGCTTCAGGGGAGCACAGCCTCACCTATACCTTGACCCCAGCCTCTAGGAGCCAGACCATGAGACAGGTGTGCACAACCAGGACAGTCAGGGTGGCCTCTGACTTCTGACTACATCCTCCAAACACTGGTGGCTCCAGGTCTCCTGGGGAGCACACTGCATGGGTTCCACGGAGCTTCTGTGCTCTCCTTTCCTGGGACACAGAAAGAGCCACATCCCTGG